GCTGACAGCCACACTGGGTGGGGTTTGTCACCTGGCCGCTAAAGCGCTGATGGTTTTATGCCCGGCACTTAATTATTTCCCCGATTGCCACCGCCATGTGCTGGCGAGTGGTGCTGGCTGTGACCCCGCCGAGCCTGACGCTGCTGCTGCAGCCCGGGGAGCTGATGGCAGAAGCACGCCCCACGTGGAGTTTAATTATTGGCTTTCTTCCTTAACAGAGTACATTGGCTGACCTTAATGCAATTAATTAGGGCTTAATCAACTTCTGGTGGCTCAGCACAGCACACAGTGACTCCTGCCTTTCCAGGAGGGTTTATAAGAGGTTAAAGCGGCTGAGGGGAGGGTGTGGTGTGTAGTTTGTACGTTTGGTGGGTAAAGCTCAGTTAGTCAAGTGTTGGGGTTAAGACTTGTGTTCTCCTAGGCTGGGCATGTTGCTGGACATGCTGGTAAAGGCAGGTGGGAAGTGAGCTGCACTCAAGAGCTGTGCCCGGGGTGAGCTGCACAGAATTGCTGGTGTTCCTTGCTTTTGGTATCACCCTGAGCTCTGGCTTTCCACAGGGCTTTTCCCGTAGCTGTGCTGGGCCAGGGTTTTCCCTCTCTTTGGATGGTCTCTGCTAGTGATGGGCTGTGTCTGGGTTGTGCATCCAGCAGCTGCTGGGCTCTGAGGGTGCTAGAGGTGATGTCTGGGGAGCTCCTTCACTCCCTTGAGCAGGCATTAGCCTGGGAGACAAGAAGCTGTTGGTCACTGGCTGTTCCTGGGCAAGAGGGAAGCTCCTTCCCCTCTCTGTCGAGCAGTGTTTAATAACTAATAGTGCTCACTAATACTGCAGAAAGTCCTCAGCACCCCTGACATGGGGCCTTGGCTCTGCACCTCTGTGGCTCCTCTGGGCTTGACTGCTGGGTGTAAGGACTTATTTACACACCTTGTGTCTCCAGCTGCTGGATTTTAGGTATTTAAGCCAGCAGACACCTGTTGGCGTAGCTGGTGATGCAGTGCCCCATCCCTGGGCTGCAGAGCATGAAGTGACTCAGCCTTGGCCTTGCAGAAAGCCCTGGAGAGGTGAGTGGCCCTGTGCCAGTGGTGGCATCCTCCTGGTGTCAGCTGTGGTGATGGTGACCAGAACTGTGGCATGTCCTGCTGTGTGCCCTCACATCCTGGATGCTTTGCATCCTCCCAGTGCCATTGTCCCGAGGCGGTTTCTGTCACCACACCTCCTACCCCATTTCTTTGGGTCCAGTGTCTCTGGCTGTGCCCCACCCCAGGGGCTGTGCCACCAAGCCCCCTTGTGTGGATAGCCCAGTGCCAGGACTGGGAGGTGGCAGCAGGAGCTGTGCCAGCCACTGTTGCTGGCTTGTTTGCTTCAGTGCCAATTCATTAATATCAAAAAGCTAATTAGGATTCCACAGCCCTTCCCACCTGGCCCTCTCCTTTGGAGGCTGGAGGATACTTGTCTGCAAGATTTCCATGCAGCCCTGTCTTAAAAGGACTCAGCTCTGGTCTGTCCCAGCCCGGTGGTTTGTGTCCCTCTCTCTGCTCCCAGCTCATTCACGTGGCTAAAGCCCCTCGAAGCCTGGCAAATGGGAAGTGATATTTGCCAATAATCCCTCTGCTCTCCCGGGCAGGCTTCTCATATTACAGGTTATTAAAAAAACCAAAACCCAGGCAGCAATAACTGTGGCCCCTGGGAGAGCCCGAGCACAGATTGTTCCTGGTCAAACCCCACCCAACAGGAGAGCCCCAGGCAGAGGCAGCACAGCAAGGCCCAGCTGGACTTCATGGAGCATCTCTAGGCAGAGCCCAGCCCCTCTTGCAAGCAGAAAAGGGACAAGCCACAACACTCTTTTTCCCCTGGGGAACAAGTGGGATTCCCACGAGTCACAGACTAAATCCAATTTCTCCCCACAGAGGCTGTGGAATAAACCCTGCTATTGCTTATCAGGGCTCCCCACCCTGATGCCAGCACCCCTTGGCCTCAGCATCTTCCTCACCACTGGGCTGGGCAGGAGCAGCTCCTGTGTTGGCATCTTGCAGGGACAGGACAGAGCCAGCACCACCTGGTAGGACAAACCCAGCCTCTACAGCCAATTTTTTGCTTTGCGGGGCTTTTGAGAAAACTTGCCCAGAACTGGGGATGCTGTTTCCTCTGGAACAGGGCAGTGATGCCGCTCCATCCTTTTCCTTGAGGGTGGATTTGTCCCATGGGAAATTCAATCCACTAAATATGTGTAGTTGTATTTTTCTTTCTGCAAAAATACCAATTTCCCTGCAAGGAGTTTCACTGCAGCTCGAAACATTTCATTGCATGGGTTGGGGGTTTCCTTCTGGTTTTAAGTCAACATTTCCCCTTAAAATGTCACTCAGGGAATGATGCTTTTTTTTACAGCAAAAGTCTGTGATGACATTTTAAGTGGAGAAGAAAATTGCTGCTTCGTTTCAAAATGTCAACTTTGAGTGGGGTGGGTTTAGAGTATTTTTTTTATTCCAGTGTTTCCCAGGAGAAAAGCGAAATGGTTTCATTAGACTCAAGTAACTCTTGCCCCCATGACCCCCAAAATAAATATTTATTTATTTATTTTTTTAACCTCTTTGCACTTTTGTGGCAGGGAAACTTTTGCCAAGAGAAGTCACGCTCTAGTGGGATGCCGCCTTGGGAAGGGACAACCCTGTCTCAGCCAAACCTGAGCCTTCTGGGGCAAATCCTCTGGCACCAAACTCCAGCGGGGACCTGTGGGAGAGACTCCATTGCTGCCAGCTGGTTTTGGTTGCCACGGGAGGGATTAACAGCAGGTTGAAACCAGGTTTTGAAGCTCTCCTCTTCCTGCTTTCCCTCTGCCTCGTGCTCCTGGTTTTCCTTCACACAGCTCTCCTCGAAAATTGCTTGTTCTAGATTAGGCTACAGACTGGAGTTATCTTCCTTTTATTTATTAGGGTAATTATACCTAATGATTCACATGCTCGGGGAGAGTAATTGCTCCCAAATACAGCACTGGCAGTGTTCTTACCCAGCCGGGGTGCAGTGATTCACAAACGCATCTTTTCGTACCATTTATCAAGTGATGATCCCGTAATTGCTGACTTGATTTGGAGGCAGTTAAGGAGCGATTGAGGACCCGGCAGCACCGGCATTGTGTCCATTTCCCTCTGGTGTGGTGGTCACTTCTGTGTGTCTCCTCCCTGCCACGCTGACAGTTGTCACCACTCGCCTCCTGTGTGGGTTTTGCTGGGGATTTTGGTTGGGTTGAGCCCCTCGAGCTGCAGGGCTTGTGCTTTGTGAAGAGCCGTGGTGCCTGGTCTGGCAAATTCTGTGGCACGGCCTGGCTGAGGGAGAGCCAGGGCTGTCCCCCTCCAGGGTGGGGAGGACCCCCCCATCCTCCCAAAATGCGGCATTTATATGGCTTGGCCCTCACCTCTTCAGAGCTCTTGGAGCAGATGGGTGAGAGCTTGTGCTGCCCCAGTGAGGGGACATCTGGGGACCTTTCCCTGAGGACTCCTGCCCATCTACCATGCAGAGTGGGCAAGAACATCCCACGAGGGATGGATGATGTGCAGAGTCCACCCTGCTGAGCTGCTCCAGCCCTGGGAGAAACCTGGACGCTGGGGATGGAAGGAGGTTTCTGGGAGTGTTTTGAAGAGTGTTGATGTTCCCAGTGCTGCCCTGAGGCTTGGAAAGGCAGCCTGAGGCTTGAAATTCCTCCTTGAAATTCTTAAGGGGAGCCCAGGATGATGGCTCTGGAGTGATTTAGCCCTTCTGGTGCTACCCAAGACAACACTGTGGTGCTTGGCTGGAGGCTGCTGGTCAGCTGTGCTCTCCTGGGCCAGCAAAAACAGTTTTTTTGGTACTGGATGGAGAGCAGAGTGTATTGCTACTTTGCTTTTTTTTTTTTTTAAGCTTCCCTTCTCAGTGTGTGTCTGGGCTGTATTGCATGAGCCTGCACCCACCACCCATCTCCTCCTGCCCCAAGTGCTGCTCCAGTTCTCCCATCCCGTGGATGCCAGAATTGCCGCTAGGATGTGAGCAGAAAGGCAGGAGGAGAGGAGGTGGCACAAACAGCCCTTTCTGCTGGCCACCACTTGGCTTTATCCCCAGCACTGCTTGGGTGGGCTCCTGAGGGAGCTTGCCCTTGTTGTCCCCCACTCCCAAAATGTGGGGCTGTGCCAGTGCCTCTCAGTAGGTGTTCACTGGAGTAATAGCTCCCTGGTTTCATTCCACCCACATCCACCTCCTTAGTGGAGGATCTGTGCTCGTTCTCACTGGTGCCTGGCCCCCTGTCAAGAGCTCCTGCAGGCATCCAGGAGTTGCTCCTAATGGGCTGCCAGGGGATTTGGACTCTGACAGCTGGGTGCTGACAGCTCCCTGCAACTGCTCGCTTCACCCGCTGGGCTCTCTTCTCCACAGTCAGATGGAGAAGGATGCTCCAACCTCTGTGGGGAGGAGGCTGGCTCTTCTTTCTCCCCTCCCCGGGTGTTTGTGATGGTGCTGGAGGTTTGTGGTACCCATTGCCTTGGTGGGGATGATGGTGGTGCAAGCAGAGGGTCCCCAGGCTGGAGGAGCCCCTGCAGGGTGATGTTCCAGGTTGGGGACTGGGAGAGGGGAGGAGGTCTGGATATACCACAGGGCAAGTCTTGTCACAGCTCCCAGCAGGGAGTTGGGGTGGCAGGTCTTTGCTAGCTGGGAGCAAGTGCTGACACCTCCTGGGGCTGCCTCTCCAGCAGCTCTGGGGCCTCCCATGCTTTCCCCTGGCTGACACATCGCCTCTCTTCTCTATTTGATGCAGGGCTCCTCTGTGTCCCCACAGACGCCACAGGGGCTGGTGGGTGCTTCTGGGGGCTCCCCAGGGCCCAGCTCCATTCCAGCGGGGGCTGTGGCAGCTACCGCAGAGGGACTATCCCATCACCCTGCCAGCATGGAGCAACTCACAGCCTGCTGTCTTGTATGGCTTTTTATTCCTATGTGATTATACATCCCACTTCATATAGGGATTGAAGCCGTGCAATACGCCGGGGTCCTACAGCGGAGAGCAGCTCCTGTGCCATGGGAGCCAGCCTCGAAGGAGCCTTCAGAGCTGTCCCCTGGGGTGCTGGAGGAAGACTGCTGGCCTCAGCCTGGACTCTGTCCTGCTTCCCAGGCTACCCAACCCTCTTGGGCTGCAGGTGAGGGGTGCCAAGCTGCTTGGGGTGAGGCCAGCACAAGCCCACTCCTCCTTGCACTGCACCCTCTTGCAAAGGTGGGCCTGGTTCTGCACCACGTGTGCTGTGGAGAGACCTGGTAACTGTCCTGATGGGCTCATCTCTGGGGAACCTGCTTCTTTGGTTTTGGCCCCCAGTATCCTGGGAGATGGGTGACAACCTCTGGGTGCAGGCACTCAAGGAGGCACTGCTGGCGGGACAGGGGAGGAGGAAGAGGAAGAAGAAGAAGAAAATGAGCTGAGGAATGGCCACCACAGCAAGGGCTGCCCCAAGCACAACTCTCTTCAAAGTTTCTCAAGAGGCTTCAGCCACTCTTTCAAGGTTTGCGTTAAATCTGTCACATTAGCGAAAATAGTGAAAATTGTGGCTTGTGGAGGAGATGAAAGGCAGCCCCTTCCAATGCCTCCATAAAGGAAGGGCCCCATTAACACCTAGTGAAATATTAGCCATTAATCAGGCTCTGTGCAAAATAAAACCATCCACATTTATCATTATTGGATCCCTAATGAAGTGATAATGGAAATGCTGGGGAGCTGTGATATTAATGTCTTCTAAGAGGCAAGAGCAGAGCCAAGGGCGGCAGCCAAGATTTTTAATTTACTGCCAAAAGCTCGTGCTGTTAATAACGCAGTTACTTCTCCTGGCTATTAGCACTGTTTGGCTATGAGCTGCCAGCTTAGGAGAGCAAATCGACCCTGAACGTACCTGGGCTTTGCTCAGTCACTCCCCAGCCAGCATCTGGGCATGTTTTTCCCAGTGACTGTCCTAGTGTCCCCTGCCCATATACAGGGACATGGCCAGGGAGCTGTTGGCCATCTCCACCCAGATCTCTCCTGGAGGCTGGCTGGTATAGAAAGTTTTGCTTTTCTGATAGAAAAAGAAGGGACTGGGAGCATCAAACCCAAGTGGCTCTTATCTCTCTGTGACTTGTTGCCTTAGGCAGAAGCACCCTGGAGCCAGGATGGCATGGAGCTGCTCCCAGCACAGCCTGCACACTGGGATCACGGGTTGTGACCATGCTGCACTCTGGGTTTCTTCACTTGCCCGGGTTCACTCCCATGATGCCAATATCCCATCCAGGACAGCGTGGGCAAGTTGCAAAGCCCTGCTCAGCTGTGGTGACTCACTCAAGCTCCCGATGGGAAAGTCATCGTTCCTGGCAGGCCCTGACAGCCCAGAGGCAAATCATTACTAGGCAGGTAAGCGATGCTCTTGTGTCTCAAGATGCAACTGTTAGCGCACAAATCCTGCTAAACCAGTGTGGCCCAAATGTATGCTGGCTCATGCGTGGGGCCTTTTGCTGTCCAGAGGCACAAAACAATATTTTTTCTGTGAGGGGTGCCCAAACTCCAATGCTCCTTTTGTCCCTAGGTAGAAGGTCCACCCAAGCAACCCTTTGGAAACGCAGCTTCAAGCTGTCCAGGTAGAAGCATCAGAAAAGTATTTCTGTAGCCTGGGTATCCTTAGTGAACCTCTTCCTATCCTGTTATCTCTTCACTAGGAAAGAAAGGACAAGAACAAAACCCATATGTGGTGGCCAAGCAAAGGTAGATGTGAAGTGTACTTCAAACAGCTCTATCCTTTCAACAAATCTTTTATTAGCCATTTCTCCTCTCCAACACACATTCTTTAATTGCTACTGAAAAGCCACCATTCAGAAAGCAAGGACACTGCTCAGGGTATCTGGGGTAGGCATTTCCTGGGAGAAGCCAGCCAGCACTAGCCCAAGGTCTTCTGAACTTGGCTGCAGCTCTAAGGGCCAGTGTGGTGCTCAGCAGTGTGGCAGACCTGTGGGCAGGGGGTTATTGTGGGCCTGTTGCACACTGGACCTGATGCTGAAGGTGCCAGTGACCCTTCTGCCAGGCACCCCAGCCTGAAACCGGAGTCACTCTGCATTCCACTAGAGCAGAACTGGCCAAGGAAGCATTCCTAGCACTGTGGAGCCAGCCTTAGCCAGTTATCCTGGCTGCAGCCCATACTTGTGGCTGTATCTCCGTGCGTTGGTGCCCCTGTGGAGCTGGCCTGCTGGGCATGGAGCAGGCGACCTGCCAGCGACCTCCGGAGAAAAGCACACGGCACAAAGCAGCTTCTCCTGCACAACCACCCCCTGACATTACAGGGGCACAGGGAGCTTTATAATGCTTGGCAGACTTCCCCCAGCAGATCTTGGAGCTGTTTGCCAGTGTGAGCAAGTTCAGGCACGTTACAGAAGACTTTCAGACTCTGAGGACAAGTGAGATGCGTGGATAGGTTTAAACCATCCCAGGCAAGACCAGGGTTTTGAAATCCCCAGGCTTGTGCCTTACACTGTGCCTGGGCTGTAGCCCAGACAGTCCAGCTGCCAGCCTGGCATCAATACTGGGCCCCGTGATGGTCCTCCTGATATCCCTACTTGTTAGTTGTTGGCTTCAAAACCAAATAGGAGGTGTTGTATCCTCCTCAAAAATCCACTCTCCGATCCAGGCGGGTGCAGAACGACTGCTCAGTGAGATACACCACGACTCAGTGTTGGCACAACAGTGTGTTTATGTCACGAGATGAGATCAGCCACACGGAGTAGGTCGGTCTGTCTGGAAAGAGTCTGAGTCAAGCGTGTCCTATTACATTATAGCTGGATTTTCAAAGGAGCTCAGCTCCCACTTAGGCTCTGTAACAAACAGCCAGATATTCAAAAGAAGTTGGACGTGCTGGGTCATACTGGCTGCTGAGCTGAAGTCCTTTGAATATCCAGCCAAAACCATCAACGTGCCTGTTGCTACAGGCAAAGCCCTTCTGAAATCCAGCCTCACTGTGGGCTGCATATCCTGGGAAACCCGGCTCATCTCCGCTCTCCCGCATATCGCACTGCAGTAGGTGACAAAACCACGATAAACCACCGTGTCCTTGTACATGTGGGGGAGCAGCTCCCTGTCAGAGCACAGCTCTGGCAGCTTTGCCCTTTGATCAGCTCAGCAGCATGGGTCAGGAGAGCTGAGCGTGAAGGTTTCCTTGCCTTTTGTTCTGTGGAATTAGCAGAGTTAATCAGAGTGACAGCGACTTCTGCCTCAGCGCGGAAGAAAGGTCAGTGGCTCAGGCTGGATGCACGACTGTTTTCTAGGCAGTTGGAAAACAACACCACGAAAGCTCATAGCGTACATGCTGCTGGCACGGAGGCTCTCCCATGAGGGATCAGCAGGGAAGATGTTCCTGTGGAGGGAAGGAGGCTGGAGGAGCCACTGCACTTCGTTCATCCCCCTCCTTAAGTGAAGGTATGGAACCCTCTGTGTCACTGTGCGCTGCCTGTGTCACCCATCCAGTATCTCTGCCAATGTGCTCCTTAGCCACACTCCTGGGTTTGCATCATGCTGGACTTGTGGTCTCTGTGTCACCTCATACACTGCTGTGGGAGGAACTGCAGGGCACTGTGCTGGTGCGTGGAGTGGGTGCTGGGTATTCCCACCATATCCCTCCAGCACGTTCACGCTTCAGGTGAGCAGGCCTTGCTGTCACTGCTTTTACATCCTTCAGTCGCTGTAATGCACTTCTGTGAATCTGCAAAAGCTCCCTCCTGAGCTGCTCTTGAGCTGGGTTCACTGGAGGTGCAACAGTGCAGTGAGGGTTCTCCCTGGCAGCCCTGCCATGGCTTCAACTTCCCCATATCTTTTAACTGTAGTTGCAGCATGTTAAGTCTTCAACTTCACTTAAAGTCACGAGCATGTTAAATCCAGCTTCCTTGTCTGCAATGTGACCTCTTACCTTTCTCTGATCCCCCCAGTTACAAGTGCTTGCTTTTGCTGTGGACATCCACTCATGTGTCTAATTAGTGGATTCTTTCTGTAAAGATACCACCACCCTCGACAGTGAGTCCTAATTTAAGTAGCTCGCATTTGTCTGCAGTATTGATGCTTTCATTTACTCCTGGTTCTAATTAAGTGCATCTGGATATCTGCAGAGGGAGCTCTCATGATCTCTCCAAAGCTCTAATTAAAATGGCCTGGATGTCCATGACATTGGTGCCTGTCAAGCCTGTCACCAGGAGGTGATGCCCACCTTGGAACTGGCTGAAGAAGGTGTAGGAGTCGTTGTTCCTGAGAAAAGCCTCCACATCCAGGCCCTCCTGAAGCGCCTCAGCCACTAGCCCTGGGCTGCAGAAGGCTCCTGCCGCCTCCGTCGGCCCATCCTGCCCATCCGTTCCCCCGCTGAAGAAGATGATCTCACACCTCCCTTGGGGGCTGCTGCCTTCCATGGCCTGTGCCCTGTGCAGCCCCAGCCCCACGCGCAGGGCCAGCTCCTGGTTCCTCCCTCCCTTGCCGCTTCCTTGAAGCTGGACTGTGGTTTCTCCGCCAGCCAGGATGCAGACTGGTCTTTCAGGCCCTAATCCTCGCAGGGCCTGTAGAAACTTGGCAAGGTCCAAACCTGGGATCTCCAGCTCTGCTGCCAGCTGCAGGAGATTGCCCCTCACCTCATCACCGAGGGGCTCTTCTGCACGGCCGGCGAGGCCCAGGCAGGCCAGCCGGATCAGCTGGCAGTACAGCGTGGAGACACGGCCGACCTCCCCACGGATTCCTGCACTCAGAACCAGAGCTGCGTAACCCAGGCTCTCAGCGTGCTGTTTGGCTTCGTCTAAAGCCAGAGTATTTGACCCAATGATGATGTTGGAAACGTGGGAGTAGTTTTCTGGAGCGGTGGGCTTGGTAGGAGAGCTGGAGAGGACCGTTTCCACTGATTTGGGCAGGTCGTGCAGCAGGTTGTATTTGGCAAGTACCTGAAGGCAATCTTGGACACTGTGGGAGCTGGCAGCAGTGGGCCCACTTGCTATGATATCCAGGGGATCACCAATCACATCAGACAGGATGAGACTGACCACCTACGGAAAAAAATGCCCATAGATTATTGCAGGAGGCAGAGACAGGTGATTACACAAGAGCCCTGGCATAAGTATTGCTCTGAGTTACACTTGCACTACCCCCACATCAAAGCAGATGAAAAGAGGGCAGGGAAATTTTGTTTTATGGTCCTGTGACCGTCACCTTGCCCTTCTTGAACCCACAGATCTACAGTCCCCTTGGATGCTGGACCATCACTTTGGAAGATGTAACCTGTGACACTGCACCTGTCAGGCCCAGCATAGTGTGGGTTCAGTGATGGCACATGCTGAGAACAGCCCCCAGGGGAGCCAAGGGTCAGAGCCAGCCTTGAAAGCGCTGTGGTGAAGCACCAGCACTTGGAGGTGCCTACCAGGTGTGGGCTGGGGTGTGCTGAGAGCGGTGTGATGATGGCTGATGATTGCCAAGCCTGAATTCCCCCTGTTCCACCTCTGTCTCCCTGAGAGTTTGGGTCCTCAGTGAAATCTCAGCTGTAGAGTCCCAAAACAGCGTGCAAAGGTTGTTCACTTAGTAAGGAAAAAGCCCTGCAAGCATGCTTAGGTAAGTTGACTGAACCTCTGCTTTGGGGGTAGGTGGGTGATCCGTGGTTACCTGTGCAGGATATGCGAGCTGGGCCAGCCCTCCTCCCTTCAGCACGGACAGAGTCTTCCGGACAATGTTCAGCTCCTGTATGGCAGCTCCTCGGGAAGCCAGCGTCTTTGTGAGCTTCTCCTTCTCTTCGAGGAGGATGGGAGGGATGGGAGCAGGCAGCAGGGCTGATCCACCCCCTAGGATGCAGAAGAGACGGCAAGGACATCAGGATAGCAGGAAAAGGAGGACAGAAGAGAGCAAGGCTTGAACTTTTCCTCTTCCCTCACTAGTTTATGGAGGGAAGGCAATTGGGGACCTAAGCTAACATCTCTGGAGAATTCAGTCTTCACCAATGGGTTTTAATAACTGCTGTCCTGCACTCTCTGCAGTCTGCTATGCTTCACCTGGCAGTGTAAACCATGCCAGACTGGGATACCACATGCCTCCAGTGTTGTGGGGGTGACAGAAAAGGGACAGCAAGTACTATCACCACTACTCTGGGCTACCAGTGTGTCCTCACACTGATATTCATCTAGAGGGGTGAGCAGGGAGCACAGCTCCCATAGCTCACACAGCAGTCTGTGCTATGCATGTGGAGACACTGCCTGCTTTGGTGGCTCCATTTATTCAGGACACTGAGTAAAACAAACAAACAAAACCAAACAAAAAACCCTCCTATCAGCTATGGATGCAGCAATACTGGAAACCCCTGAACTGTGCTCATCTTGGTCTGGGAGGAAAGGAAGGGGAAGACAGTAATGCAAAGGACAAAGCACACCCTGAGTCCAGGGGTCCAGCCTCATCAATGGAAATCCTGTCTGATACAAGCAGGCATTGGAAACGTGGAAAAGAAGGCAAGGTTCTAATGGAAAAGCGGATGGAAAATACAGAGGAGAAAAGAGCAAGATCTGAGCAGAGAGAACACGCACGGAAGTACAGCTGAAAGATACTGTCAAAAGGCAAAGCCTGCTCAGAGGTTTGAGACAAATCAGCATCAATAAAACATGATGAGCAAGAAAAACAAATGCAAATGCCTGTGTTTCAGTCAATAGCCAGGGATCTAGCTGAGAGGTAGGAGCAGTTGGGGACCGGCTGCTGTGTGGGAGTGCACATGCAAAGGGAGTCACAGCCACGGGGAGATCCTGCACAGGCTCCCTGAAGGGCTGAGGAGTCTCTTGGAGATCCCTGTAGCCAAAAGACAGGAGGAAGCCCAGGGGAATCCCCAGCAAGCACAGCTAGATTCCAGTCACTTGGGTGTCTGCCTAATGGCATTACTGTCTCTGCACCAGATCAGGCTTCAGCATCCACAGAGGAATAAACACTGAGCAGAGGAGACCGAGGGGTTTCTGCAGAGCCCTTGTGTGCTTTTGTCCTGTGACATCCACAGCCAGCTGAGCTCAGGCTGGGGCAATGTCAGTGCATCCCTCTGATGCCCCATATCCACTCTCCTCACACAGCCCTGGGTCTGGGGACAGCCTGGGGGCCCAGCAGCCAAGGCCTGGAGGTGTGCAGGACTGACCCCTGCAAGGCAGGCAGCTCACTGTGCTGGTACCTGGAGGCTGCATTTCCACTGGCTTGGAAGCAGCCAAGCCCTGGGAAGGGTCAGTCACAAATCTCAGCTTACAGACTCACACCCCTGCAAAAATTTAGTGTGCCAGTCCACTAAGTGCTTGCATCTCCAAGTCTGCATCCCCAAATGTAAGGAGGGGGCAGGAAGAAAGCATCTCCTTGCCAAGAGGTGAGAACAGAGCCCAGGCTGTGCCCAGAGGTGCCATCTCACAGTGGTGGCACAACCACAGAACCCAGCCTGTGCAGCTCAGGTACAGTGCAGGGAGGCAGTGTGTCCACCGCAGCAGTGGGAAGCCCCGTGCTCTCCCTTGCTGCATCCCTGGAGAAAGGATGGTGGAAGGGAGAGGAAAAATCACAGAGGTACAAGGGTCCATGCTGAAAGGCCTGGCACAGCACAGCGTTCCATTGCTTCATGGCCATGGATGGCCTCAGGATACCCCATTCTCTGGGGGCCCCACACTACCTGAGATAAGCACGAGGAGCAGGTCATCTGCAGTCAGACCCTCAGCCAGCTCCTGTATGGCAACAGCTCCCTTCAGAGCCTCTGCATCTGGGAGGTTGTTCTTGGCACCCTCGATGACCTGGATTTTGCTGTGTGGCTTCAGCAGCATCTCCCTGGTGAGATGAGAGAGGTAGTCACACCACTGACCTGTGCACCTACACAGGCAGCCAGGCTGTCACTCTGCCAATGCCTGGTGCACCAGAGGTGTACAGCAAGGGACCAGGACGGGGAGATGGCCTTTGCTGAGTGTCTCTTCCCAGGGCTGGAGAGGCAGCACATCCAGCACAAGAGGTGGGGTCTGTTACTGGTGCCACTGGGACACGATGGTGGCTGAAGATGAGAGCAGTGGGTTGGATGGGATGGGCAACAGAGTGAGGGCAGCTGGAAAGGACTGAAGGGGTTCACAGCAACATCCCACAGAGGACAAATCTGGTAGCCTAGGCCCCCCCTAAAACTGTCCAGAAACAGTTCTCCTTACTGCATTCCTGCTCGCTGCAGGCTCTCCTGGATGCCCAGTGGCACACTGATGACACCACGGACGAGGCGGTCTCCCAGGATCTCTTCTGCTGCTGCAGCCATCCCCAGCACAGCTTTTCCAAAACCCACCAGGTACAGGTCCCTCTTCACTGGAAAGGCCTGGCCCTTCACCAGCAGCTGAGGGCACCTATCCCCCTGGAGTTTCAGAGCCCTCTTCATCATCGGGGCCGGGCGGATGGTGCCCACCGCGCTGCGGAAGAGGGACAGCGCATGCTCTCGTAGGGACATTCTGCACAGGGTGGCCAGGCTGAGACAGTCTGTGCTGTGGGGTGGGCTTGTACACACTCTGCCAGCACTGGCAAGGCCTCCAGAGCTGGGACAGCTGAAGCCTCCAACC